CTTCCCTCCCCTCCCCTCCTCTCTCTCTCTCTCTCTCTCTCTCTGTCTCTCAAAGTTTCAAAAAAGATAAATCTGTCCTTGAAGTTATTACTCTAACAAAGGAGGCTCAGAAATTGTGGCGATGGCCTGAGAAAACCTTCCAATGACACCCGTAATCATGACTGATAATGTGTTTTCCTGGAAACTATGCTGTAAATGACATCTCTGAAACTCTAAGCACAATACCTAAGGATATGAAGCCAGCTCTGTCTCTTTCAGGCAGTATAACTGTGGGTAAGTTGCTTTCTTTGTACGTATAATGAGGGGAATAAAATCAAGTTTCTCTGTCACCTCAGAAGTGATCATTGCACTTGGAGTGGGAAACACAATACAATATATAGATGATGTATCATAGAATTGTACACCTGAAACCTGTATAATTTTATTAACCAGTGTCATCCCAATAACTTCAATTAAAAAAAGAAGTGACCAGTGCACATCCTTCTTCTTCCACATGATCGCAGGTGGTCTGATGAAGCTGTAGATTCCCCAGAGACGGCCCCCATTGGTCCTCTCCAGAGGTTGACCCTAAATGGACTTCTTGAGATGGCTCCCAGTTCCCAATATCCGGGGCACCAATCTCTAGAGCAGTGATGGCGAACCTATGACACGCGTGTCAGAGGTGACACACGAACTCATTTTTTTGGTTGATTTTTCTTTGTTAAATGGCATTTAAATATATAAAATAAATATCAAAAATATGTCTTTGTTTTACTATGGTTGCAAATATCAAAAAATTTCTATATGTGACACGGCACCAGAGTTAAGTTAGGGTTTTTCAAAATGATGACACGCTGAGCTCAAAAGGTTTGCCATCACTGCTCTAAAGACTTATCACCAGGAAAGGCCGCCCCTCCCACTCATCTCCAGGAGCTGGATGGTTGGGGAGGGGACTTCAGAGCTGTTCTGCTCAGTCAGGCTCTGTTCTCCAACTGCCACTAAGAGAACAAAGTACCGAAGAACACTCGGACCAGCAACTCCCAGCCTCAGGGTAAGGTATGTGTGCACAACTCTTTTGTCTCTTTTATTTTGACTCTCCCTCTCTCTGCTCAACTCTCTTTCGCTTGTCTTGCTCTGACACTCTCTGCCCCTCCATTTTTTTTTTGTCTAACTCTTTCCAATCTCGATCTCTCTCCTCACTTTCATTCTCTTTTTCCCTGTTTACTTGTTGTACTGCTTTTTCTCTTTCTTGGTGTTTCTTTCTTTGCATCTCTGTCTCTCCTTTGATGCCTCTGTAAACTCAGACTTCTCTTTCTCTTGGTATCTTTGTCTCTGTCTGTCTTTGATTTCCCCGTGTCTCTCTCCTCATCCTCTCAGGGCTTCTGCCCGAGGAAGTGGATAGTGATCCCCCTCTTCACTGTCCAGGTTGGACCCCCTGCTCTTCCCTGATTCTGTCTATCTCTGTAACTCACCAAATATCCCCCCACAACCATGCAGACAGGTGGATGGCAAAACCAGAGGCCACAGGGAAAAAGAGCTACCAGCCCGGCCGGTGTGGCTCAGTTGGTTGAGCGTGGACCCATGCACCAAGAGGGTGCTGGCTAGATTCCCCATCAGGGCACATGCCCGGGTTGCAGGCTCGATCCCCAGTGTGGGGCGTGGAGGCAGCCGATCAATGATTCTCTCTCATCATTGATGTTTCTCTCTCTCTCCCTTTCTCTTTGAAATCAATAAAAAAAAATATTTTTAAGAGTGGATAGAGAGAAATGCAAGAGTGCAGGTGGGCATTCTCTGAAGCCTCAGCTAGAAGTTAGGTGGGAAGAGGCCTGAGGCCTGGCCTGACAGCCTTCTGGCGGTCCAGCCCCTCACTCCAGCTCACAGCTCTAAGTGCCACCTTGACTTCACTCCTGTGTTTGCCTCCATCTGATGCTGAAGTTCTTCCCGCGTCTGTACCTGCATTTCTGACCCTCACCATCTTCCTCTTTGTCCTTTGTCTTGTCCCTTTTATTCATTTCTTGTATAATGTCTCTCTGCCTGCATCTCTTTGTACATCTCCATTAGAGTCTCTATCTCCCTATGTGTATGTCTCTGTTTTTATTTCTCTCACTTCACCTGTTTTGCCTCACTCCGTTCTCTGCAGTCCCTGCCCCTGGAAACCGCCAGGGATCTGAGACCGCATCCCCTTCTTTTGGGAAGTGAAGTGGACCACCTATCTGGTCAGGGGTCGGGGTCCCGACTAGGAGCCGGGTGACACCAGGGACTAGTCCCCTCACAGAACACCCCCCCCCAGCCTAATGTCTGCCTGGAGGGTGGGGTTCTAAACCCCATGCTGGTCCCCCCTC